GAAGGAGCAGGCAAAGGGGAGGCAGGCTCTAGCTGTGGCTGTGAGCGGACAGGCTGCGGACCCTCTAAGGGAGGAGGAGGAGGAGCAAGACCAAGAACCTGCTCCAGGAGCGGAACGAAGTACGGTCGAGACCGCGCGGCGACGCCAGAAACAGCAGGAACAGAACCAGCAGCTCCGGCCGGAGCACCCACTCCAGCAGCACCTCCAGCAGAACCACCAGAAGCTCCAGAACCTCCAGCAGCAGCACCAGGAGCACCGTCAGTCGGACCACCAACCGCAGGCTCAGCGCCAACGTCCTCAGCAGGACCAGCTCCAGGAGAACCCTCAGACCCAGCAGCTCCAGCACCCACAGGACGAGCACCGCCAGGTCGCGTGGCAGCAGCGCCCTCCGCAGCCGAAGAACCACCAGCACCAGCGGCACGCCTCCAGCGCCGGGCAAACCACTCACGCAGCTCCTGTGGAGAGAGCGGCTCCCGGCGAGACGAAGCACCCCCAGGCACAGCACCTCCAGGCTCGGCACCTCCAGGCTCAGCACCCCCAGGCTCAGCACCCCCAGGCTCAGTACCCCCAGACACAGCACCCCCAGGCACAGCACCCCCAGGCTCAGCACCCCCAGGCACAGCACCCCCAGGCTCAGCACCCCCAGACTCCGCACCCCCAGGCTCAGCACCCCCAGGCTCAGCACCCCTAGACTCCGCACCCCCAGGCTCAGCTCCCGCAGCAGCACCGGAGTCACCAGTGACCTCGACAGGCTCGACAGCGTCTACCTGAGACACACCTGAAGGGGCAGGACCCTGAGGGGGGAGGGGGACTACTGGGGGGGGACCTGGTACCAAGAAGAGCGGGGGTGGGGGGAGGGACGGAGTGCGGTAGGGGAAGAGGCGGTAGTAGGGTACCGACTCGTCAAACGTGACGTCCTGGGAGGACAGAACACGTCGAGAGGTGGGGTGGTAAAACTGCCACCCAGGGGCGTCGGGGGGGAACCCGAGGAAGACGCAGGGAGAAGCACGAGGGGACAGCTTGTCCGCAGACAGGTCGCGGACAAACGCCCGAGATCCCCAGACCCGGAACGCCGACGCATCGCCAACCTTCCCCGTCCACAACAGAGCTGGGGAGGTCTCCGGTCGAGAGACCCTGGGGTGGAGGTTGATCTGGTGCGCAGCGTACCTGACCGCAAACGGCCACAGAAAATGGGGAGCAGCCGCATGCATCATGGACGTACGAGCGACGTCCATGACCATGCCAATGCGGCGCTCAGCGATCCCATTCTGCTGTGGTGAGTCCGGAAGCGTGAAGGTCTGACGGATGCCTCGCACACGACAGTAGGCACTCAGGAGGGCAGAGGAGAACTCTCCGCCTCTGTCCGAGTGCAGACGCAAGACAGGGAAGTCAGAGCCAAAGCTTCTCCGAAGCTGAAGACGAGCTGCGCGGATCCAGTCGATCAACACCTGAGTGACCTCACCCTTGCTGCGCAAGGGGAAGACTGTGGTGTAACGCGAGTAGTCGTCAACCACCAGCAGGAAGTAGCGCTCCTGACCCTGTCCACGGACGCGGGCTGGGCCCCACACGTCCATGTGAAGCGTCTGCAACGGGGCCTCTGTCGGAGGAAACTGGGAGAAGTGAGGGGCAGCACGCTGGCGCCCCTCGACACAGGGGACACAGGCAGGGCCAGGGCCCGGAGGAAGGGGAGGGAGGGACCGGGGAAGACCAGACACAAGGACCCGCGAGGCCATGCCTCTGAGCCGAAGCAGAGAGGGGTGGCCAAGGCGGTGGTGCCAGAGGAGGGTCTCGTGAGACAGACGACGACACGAACAAGGGGCAGACTCAGGACCAGACCTGGACGCTGCAGCAAACACCTGACCAGACGAAGGGGCCCTACCAGACGCAGTACCTGGAGGAGAAGCAGTGGTCAGTGTGTACAGGCTCGACCCCGGCCGACGTGTAAACGTAGCCAGGTGGCGACCTGTATCCGCCTCCGTACAGTGGGTCACCCGCTGACGAGCAGGGGTGAACTGGTGGACACCTGCATCCTGGAGGTCAGCACCACTCACCAAGTTCGTCGAGAACGAGGGGAGGTAGAGACCAGTCAGGGTGCCAGAGGGGGCCGCCGGACACGGGAGGACAGTGGAGAAGCGAGACAGGACAGGCCCCCCAGAGGGGTCCGCCAGGGACACCGCAACAGGCCGACTCAGCGGCGTGAGAGTGGTGCGGTCCCTAAAGAAGGAGCGAGACGCTCCAGAGTCAAGGGTGAAGGTGTGAGAGGCCGAAGCCGACACAGTACCTGAGAGGGCGGACTCACCAGTACCTGAAAGCACAGACGCACTGGCACCTAGAGCAGCAGCCTCACTAGTACCTGACGCGGCAGTACCAATGCCCGGGTCGGGCGGGAAACACCGGTAACAGTCATCCTCATCACTACCAGTCACAGCATACATAGCAGAGAGAATAGCATCAAAATCAAGATCATAAATAGCCACACCAGCCCTAGACAGCTCTCCCCAGCGGGGGATCTCAGCGGCCTCCGGAAACTGCTGACGCCAGGCGTCGGTCAGGCGGCCAAAGCAGCGACGGGCTGTGTGGGCGCCTCCACACCTCTCCCCTGCACGGTCACCAGTGCGAAGAACGTAGGGGCAGGGACCAAGCGCACCACCGCGCTGACGCTGCAAGTACCACTCACGGAGCTGCTGAGGGCCGGGGACGGTGCGAGAGCGCTGCTGCTGCTGCGGCTGCTGCTGCGGCTGCTGCTGCTGCTGCTGCTGGCGCTGACCACCCCCAGAGCTGCTCCGCTGGGACGAGCCACTCCGACCCCCTCCTCCACCGCCACCCCCGCCTCCACCGCCACCCCCGTCGCCACCGCCACCTCCCCCACCAGGACCGTCGCTCCCACCGCTCCCACCGCCTCCTCCGCTACCACCTCCGCCGCCACCTCCGCCTCCACCGCCGCCACTACTACCTCCACTCCCGCCACCACCCCCCCCGCCACCCCCACTCCCCCCTCCACCCCCACCGCCTCCTCCACCGCCCCCTCTGGCTCCACCCGCTCCCTTGCCCCCCTTGCCCTTGCCAGTGCGGCGTCTGCCACTGGGGGCAGACGCCGCGCCGACCGACTCAAAACCAACGAGGTCGGCCGCAGCGGCAGAGGCGACAGAGGGCAGCAGGGGGGAGGGACCACACCCCTCAAAGATGGGGGTGCGAGGGTCACCCCGAGAGGCCCCTACAGCGACAATACTCTTCTCAGCCGCTAGCAGGGACTCCTCAAGGAGGTCGACAGTGAGAGTGGTGGGACAGACAGAGAGAAACTGGTCCCTAACGACACGAAGGGACTCAGGGAGACGGGTGACGAGAAAGTAGAGAGTGATGTACATGGGAGGAGGGTTCGCAGCGCGGAACTCAGCAGGAAGGGCAGCGCGGTAGCGGGTGTCACTAGCGCGGAGGTGGGTAACGAGGTCAGCGACAGTGGGAAAGGAAGCGAGGTCAGGGAAGAGAAACGGTAGCATGAGGCGGCTAAGGGTAGCGGAGGAAGGGGAGGAGTAGCGCGCAACTACAGCGTCGTACAAGGCCTGAGCGGTCTTGCACTGACTAAAGTGGGCACGCTCAGAGGAAGGGAGGTGGCGACGCACAGCAAGACGTGCAGCAGCATCGCGGGTCGCCCACTTGGAGCGAACGGCAGAGTCAGCATCAGCAGGCGGGGCAGGGACAGCGCCAGAGACAAAGTCAAAGAGAGAGACCTCATCTACCGCATCACACAGTAAGTACAGCTGCAGGTCCTCGATCCAGACGGCAAAGTCAATGGCCCTCCCTTCAGCGTCAAAAGTGAGAACATTGGGGGTGGCCATGGCAGCAGCTGAAAGTCTCACCGGGATGGGAGAGTCGGGTAGGTCAGCAGCAGGCGGCTCGGGCTGCTCGGGCGGCTCGGGCGGCTCGGGCGGCTCGGGCGGCTCGGGCGGCTCGGGCGGCGCAGGTACCGGGCGGCTCGGCTGCTGCTGGGCGGCTCGGCTGCTGCTGGGCGGTTCGGCTGCTGCTGGGCGGCTCGGCTGCTGCTGGGCGGCTCGGCTGCTGCTGGGCGGCTCGGCTGCTGCTGGGCGGCTCGGCTGCTGTTGGGCGGCTCGGCTGCTGCTGGGCGGCTCGGCTGCAGTGTAGTGGCGGGGCCGGGACAAGGGACGGCGGGGCCGTCAGGGTGCAGCGGTGGGGCCGAGACAGGGGACGGCGGGGCCGTCAGGGTGCAGTGGCGGAGCCGGGACAGGCGCAGTGGCGGGGCCGCAGGGTGCAGCGGCGGGCCGTCAGGATGCAGCGGAGGGCCGCTGGAAGCACCCGCGGCTGAGCAGGCTGCGGGGCCGCGTCGTAGGAGGCGGCAGGGCCGCGGCTGAGCAGGCGGCAGAGGCCGCGTCGTAGAGGGCGGCGGGGCCGCGGCTGAGCAGGCGGCGGAGGCCGCGTCGTAGCGGGCGGCGGGGTCGCGGCTGAGCAGGCGGCGGAGGCCGCGGCGTCTGCAGGCGGCGGAGGCCGCGTCGTAGAGGGCGGCGGGGCCGCGGCTGAGCAGGCGGCGGGGCCGCGTCTTAGCAGGCGGCGGGGCCGCGTCTTAGCAGGCGGCGGGGCCGCGTCTTAGCAGGCGGCGGGGCCGCGTCCGAGTAGGCGGCGGGGCCGCGACTGGGTGGCGGGGCCGCGTCTTAGTGGCGGGGCCGCGACTTAGTGGCGGGGCCGCGACGTAAGGGCGGGGCCGCGACGTAAGGGCGGGGCCGCGACTGGACGGCGGGGCCGCGAACGAAGGGCGGCGGGGACGCAGGGGAAGGGCGACTCGGGGGGGTCGCTAAAAAAAAAGGATCGCGCGCCTCGGGGCGCGCTTCGGTGGGCCCTAGGCGAAGTTCCCACAGGGAACCCGCTCTATACCATGTGAAATGAATGAACAGGAATGAATTGACTAAGTCAGAGTTGGGTACAAATACAACCCTAGCAAACTGTACCCCATATGTGCTACCCCACTATAGCCTACAAACATGCATCAGCTATAATAATCTGACAAAGGGGCACGCAGAGGAGCAGTAGACGGACGCAGAGACATCCGGTGCGTGCCAGGGACAGGAGGAGGACGCTGGCGCGAACTGCGACCACTAGCGCGAGCAGCTCTAACAGGCGACGCAGGACGAGACGTAGGCTCACGATGCTCAGTAAGACCTCCAGTAGGACCAGCGTAGGGAGAAGGAGCAGGCAGATGGGAGGCAGGCTGAAGCTGTGACTGTGACGGGACAGGCTGTGGATACTCTAAGGGAGGAGGAGGACCAGTAGAAGGAGGAAGACCAAGAACCTGCTGCAGGAGTGGAACAAAGTACGGTCGAGGCCGCGTGACGACGCCAGAAGAAGCAGGGACAGCACCAGTACCCTCAGCAGGAGCACCCGCTCCAGCAGCACCTCCAGCAGCACCAGGAGCACCCCCAGTAGGACCGCCAATGGTAGTCTCAGCGCCAACACCCTCAGCAGCACCAGCTCCAGTCGAACCCGTAGGCCCAGCAGCTCCATTACTCCCACTACGAGCACCTCCGAGACCCGCGACCGCAGCACCCTCAGCAGCCGAAGAACCTCCAGCACCAGCAGTACGGCGCCAGCGCCGGGCAAACCACTCGCGCAGCTCCTGTAAAGAGAGTGGATCCCGGCGAGAAGAAGCACCCGGAGAACCTCCAGGCGGAGCACCTCCACTCCCAGCACCCCTAGGCGTAGCACCTCCAGGCTCAGCACCCCCAGGCGTATCACCTCCAGGCTCAGCACCCCCACGCGTAGCACCCCCAAGCTCAGCACCCCCATGCTCAGCACCCCCAAGCTCAGTACCCCCAGGCTCAGCACCCCCAGACGCAGCACACCCAGGCTCAGCACCCCCAGACTCCGCACCCCCAGGTCCAGCACCCCCAGGCTCAGCACCCCCAGCAGCACCAGAGTCACCAGTGACCTCGACAGGCTCGACTGCGTCTACCTGGGACACACCTGAAGGGGCAGGACCCTGAGGGGGGGGGGGAGTCTACCTGGGGGGGACCTGGTACAAGGAAGAGCGGGGGTGGGGGGAGGGACGGAGTGCGGTAGGGGAAGAGCGGTAGTAGGGGACCGACTCGTCAAACGTGATGTCCTGGGAGGACAAAACACGTCGAGAGGTGGGGTGGTAGAACTGCCACCCAGGCGCGTCAGGGGGGAACCCCAGGAAGACGCAAGGAGCAGCACGAGGGGACAGCTTGTCCGAAGACAAGTCGCGGGCAAACGCCCGAGATCCCCAGACCCGGAACGCCGACGCATCGCCAACCTTCCCCGTCCACAGTCAGGCTGGGGAGGTCTCCGGCCTGGAGACCCTGGGTTGGAGGTTGATCTGATGCGCCGCGTACCTGACCGCAAACGACCACAGAAAATGGGGGGCAGCCGCATGCATCATAGACGTACGAGCGACGTCCATGACCATGCCAATGCGGCGCTCAGCAATCCCATTTTGCTGCGGTGAGTCCGGAAGCGTGAAGGTCTGACGGGTGCCTCGTGCGCGACAGTAGGCTCGCAATAGGCCAGAGGAAAACTTTCCGCCTCTGTCCGAGTGCAGACGCAGAACAGGGAAGTCCGAGCCAAAGCTCCGCCTGAGCTGGAGACGAGCCGCACGGATCCAGTCGATCAGCACCTCAGTAACATCACCCTTGCTGCGCAAGGGGAAGACCGTGGTGTAACGCGAGTAGTCGTCAACAACGAGCAGGAAGTAGCGCTCGTGACCCTGTCCACGGACGCGGGCCGGGCCCCACACGTCCATGTGAAGCGTCTGCAACGGGGCCTCTGTCGGAGGAAACTGGGAGGAGTGAGGGGTAGCCCGCTGGCGCCCCTCGACACGGGGGACACAGGCAGGGCCAGGGCCCTGAGGAAGGGGAGGGAGGGACCGGGGGAGACCAGACACAAGAAGACGGGAGGCCATGCCTCTGAGCCGAAGCAGAGAGGGGTGACCAAGACGGTGGTGCCAGAGGAGAGTCTCATGAGACAAGAAACGACACGAACAGGGGGCAGACTCAGGACCAGACCGAGACGCTGCAGCAAACACCTGACCGGACGAAGCGACTCTACCAGACTCAGTAACGGGAGGAGACGCAGTGGTCAGTGTGTACAGGCTCGACCCCGGCTGACGGGTAAACGTAGCCAGGTGCCGGCCTGTGCTAGCCTCTGTACAGTGCGTCACCCGCTGACGCGCAGGAGTGAACTGGTGTACTCCCCCATCCTGTAGGTCAGCACCACTCACCAGGTTCGTCGAGAACGAGGGGAGGTAGAGACCAGACAGGGTGCCAGAGGGAGCCGCCGGACACGGGAGGACTGTGGAGAAGCGAGACAGTACAGGACCCCCGGAGGGGTCAGCCAGAGACACCGCAACCGGCCGACTAAGCGGCGTGAGTGTGGTGCGGTCCCGAAAGAAGGAGCGAGACGCCCCAGAGTCAAGAGTGAAGGTGAGGGAGGCCGAAGCCGACGTAGTACCTGAGAGCGCAGACTCACCAGTACCTAAGGACGCAGACACACTAGCACCTAGAGCAGCAGCGTCGCAAGCACCTAGGGCAGCAGCCTCAATGCCCGGATCAGGCGGGAAACAGCGGTAGCAGTCACCCTCATCACTATGAGACACAGCATACATGGCAGAGAGAATAGCATCAAAGTCAAGATCAAAGATGGCAACACCCGCCCTAGACAGCTCGCCCCAGCGAGGAATCTCTGAGGCCTCCGGGAACTGGTGACGCCACGCGTCCGTCAGGCGGCCAAAGCAGCGCTGGGTGGGGTGCAGACCCCCACACTGCTCACCCGCACGGTCGCCGGTGCGCAGGACGTAGGTGCACGGACCAAAACCCCCACCCCGCTGGCGTGCAGTGTACCACTCACGGAGCTGCTGAGGGGACAGGGTCTCACGACCGCGCTGCTGCTGCTGGCGCGCGCCACTACCGGAGCCACTCCTCTGCGAAGGCCCGCGACCAGCTCCACCGCCACCCCCACCGACTCCGCCGCCTCCGCTACTGCCGCCGCCTCCACCGCCGCCTCCACCGCCGCCTCCACCGCCGCCTCCTCCGCCACCTCCGCTCCCACCGCCACCGCCGCCGCCGCCTCCGCCTCCACCGCCGCCACTGACCCCCCCACCCGCACCTCCACTCCCACCGCCACCCCCACTAACCCCACCGCCTCCACCTCCACCTCCACCGCCCGCTCCTCCAGCTCCCTTGCCCCCCTTGCCCTTGCCAGGGCGGCGTCTCCCGCTAGGGGCAGACGCCGCACCGACCGACTCAAGACCAAGGAGGTCGGCCGTAGCAGCAGAGGCAACAGAGGGCAGCAGGGGGGAGGGGGAACACCCCTCAAAGATGGGGGTGCGCGGGTCACCTCGAGAGGCTCCTACAGCGACTATACTCTTCTCCGCTGCTAAGAGGGCCTTCTCGAGGAGATCGACAGTGAGTGTGGTGGGACAGACTGAGAGAAAGTGGTCCCTGACTACACGAAGGGAGTCAGGAAGGCGAGTGACTAGGAAGTACAGAGTGATGTACATGGGGGGGGGGTTCTTGGCGCAGAAGTCAGCAGGGAGTGCAGCGCGGTAGCGAGTGTCACTAGTGCGGAGGTGCGTAATGAGGTCAGCCACGGTGGGAAAGGCAGCAAGGTCAGGGAAGAGGTACGGTAGCATGAGACGGCTCAGTGCAGCAGTGGCAGGGGAGGAGTAGCGCGCGACTACAGCGTCGTACAAGGTCTGAGCACTCTTGTACTGACTAAAGTGCGCACGCTCGGAGGTAGGGAGGTGGCGACGCACAGCAAGACGTGCAGCAGCGTCGCGCGTGGCCCACTGGCAGCGAACAATGGCGTCAGCATCAGCAGCAGGGGCAGGGGAAGCGCCAGAGGTAAGGTCAAAGAGAGAGAGGCCGTCTGCCCTATCGCACTGTAAGAACAGTTGCAGGTCGTCTACCCAGACCTCAAAGTCAATGGCCCGACCCTCAGCGTCAAAAGTGAGGACACTAGGGGTAGCCATGACGACAGTAGCCTAGCAGTACTACCTGTAGGACAGGGGCAGTGCAGTGACAGGAGCGCTGCTCTCACCAGACAGGGCGGGTCGGGCAGCTCAGCAGCACAGCAACGCGGCTTCTCGGATGGCTCAGCAGCAACTGCGGTTCGGGCGGCTCGGCTCCACAGCGGCTCAGGTGGCTCGGGCGGCTCGGGCGGGTCGGGCGGCTCGGCTCCTCAGCGGCTCAGGGGGCTCGGGCGACTCGTGCGGCTCGAGCGGCTCCGGCGGGTCGGGCGGCTCGGCTCCTCAGCAGCTCAGGCGGCTCGGGCGGCTCGGGCAGGTCGGGCAGCTCGGGCGGCTCGAGCGGCTCGGGCGGGTCGGGCAGCTCGGGTGGCGCGGGCGGTGTAGGGCCGTAGGGCCGCTGGTAGGGCTCGGGGCCGCAGCGAGAGGGGCGGTGGGGCCGCAGAGACGGGCGGCGGGGCCGCAGTGAGAGGCGGCGGGGCTGCAGCTAGAGAGGCGGCGGGGCCGCGGAGATGGGCGGCGGGGCCGCAGAGACGGGCGGCGGGGCCGAAGTGAGAGGCGGCGGGGCCGCGAAGACGGGCGGCGGGGCCGCTGAGACGGGCGGCGGGGCCGCAGTGAGAGGCGGCGGGGCCGCAGCGAGAGAGGCGGCGGGGCCGCGAAGACGGGCGGCGGGGCCGCTGAGACGGGCGGCGGGGCCGCAGGGAGAGGCGGCGGGGCCGCAGCTAGAGAGGCGGCGGGGCCGCGGAGACGGGCGGCGGGGCCGCAGAGACGGGCGGCGGGGCCGAAGTGAGAGGCGGCGGGGCCGCAGCGAGAGAGGCGGCGGGGCCGCGAAGACGGGCGGCGGGGCCGCTGAGACGGGCGGCGGGGCCGCAGTGAGAGGCGGCGGGGCCGCAGCGAGAGAGGCGGCGGGGCCGCGAAGACGGGCGGCTGGGCCGCTGAGACGGGTGGCGGGGCCGCCGTGAAGGGCGGCGGGGCCGCAACGAGAGAGGCGGCAGGGCCGCAGAAAAGGGCGGCGAGGCCGCTGAGACAGGCGGCGCGGCCGCAGTGAAGGGCCGCTAGGGCGGCTCGACGAAGTGAGGGCCCGGAGCGCGACTCGGGCTGAGCGCGCTTCGGGCAGGAAAAAAAAAACTCGATGTGGTGGGCCCTAAGCACAGTTCCCAAGGGGGAACCCGCTCAATACCATGAGAAGATTAGAACGAGAATGATGTGAACTATGAATGAAGCGAGTACAAATATGAAACCCTAGTTGGGTTGTACCCCCTATGGGATACCCCACTATAGCCTACACAATTGCATAAGCTATAATGTTCTAACATCGAATGTCGTCCAACGATACATTCTCGACGTGCACACGCATTTCGAACCGCGGACACGCTTGTCAGAAGCCGTGACAAGCAAGAGAAACTGGAAACAATAAGCGATTAGGTCATCCTTTTGGGAGGAGGCCGCCGAGTCGTACAACTTACCCTCGTGACTACTAGATACCACAGTTGTCGTACTCGGTTCTCGGTCTCGGTTCCCGGTCTCGGTCTCGGTTCCCCATCCGCTACTAGTGCTAGTTCTAATATCTTCTTAGTCGGACCACCGCCTTTTCAGGTACAAGTGAGGTATATCCCGTAGGCCGCAATCCGTCTGACAGGCCCAGCTCGCCATTATGGCGTTTAGATTACGACCCGATTAGACCACTTGATCTCCCAGCCGTACTCGTTTCATGAATAAACCAGCTACTTGAAAATATACGCGGTAACGTCTGACTCGACCTTGTATGACTCAGAGTGCCTCTAGAAAGCTATGTCGGCCCTAAAAACCCTCGGGGAGTAACGTGAGGCTGTGCTGCTGCTCCTGCGTGCCCGTGCCACCCGTCGAATTATTCCAGCCATTAAATCTAATTTTACTAATCCCACATAAGGGTTTAAAAGATTGATCATTCATGCCATACCGTAATTGGTTGCATATATTTAAAAACAAATGCGGACTTGGTAATAAAATGTGTGTGGAAATCATTTGTATGAATAGGTCATGAAACGATTTGTATTCAAGCATGTCATATCACACTGATGCATTTACCACTTGAATATATGTGCATTGTCTTGAAGCACTGTTCTTTATTACTATTCACCATGCTAGTGTTTGATATGGTGGGCACATCACAAGCTCGGTGCTGAGTACATCCTGCTTCAAACGTAAAATGGAATCTCACGAATGCGCGTATACGTCCTCTGACGAATCGCGGTTTGTGTGTTCCTTGCGATTAATCGTGCAATGAAAACTCAGTGTTCGACTTAGGGCGTGATACAGAGCAAGCGCTGTTCAAGACTTGATTTTGGGTTACCCTGTTTACTACGGTAGGTTGTACCTAGGCTGGTCAAGAAGTTTGCGCGTCTTGTCCAGCTTTTGTAACATGTTCCAAAATGTTTATTTTGACCAGATTTTTTTCACAACCTTGTATGAACCCGGTTCAAACTTGCCTGAACGCATTCTTCGTCATTTCTATCTTGAACAGCTCTTGAATAGCTGTGTACCGCGCCCTCAGAGATGGATCCGTGGGTTTCGGTTTGGTCGGTTCCTCCCCCAATTCCTCCTCCATTTGCGACTCGGATGGGGTGAGTCTGGCTGGTTGGTTTGGATTTTCCACCCATCAATCGTGGATGGAGAATTCCCCTCCCTCCCAACGGCTAGTGCTGGAGTTGGCGAAGGTTGTGTTACCACACGATAGGTTTTCGCGAGGAGGCTATTATATACCCTTCACCAGACCAAAACTGACAGGAGAAACGCTGGAACCTGGTCATGGATACTATTCTGCGGTGTCCTATGGAGTACTGTAGTAGTAACTCACTGAACTAGGGACTCCATGGTTGTAGTGTACTCTATGGTTGGATCTTATTCAGAAGGCGAGCGATCTACTACTTCCTAACGCGGGATGTAGCAAGAGGCAAGCGAGCTAGGTCGTCGAATGCTCGTCCAACGATACATTCTCGACGTGCACACGCATTTCGAACCGCGGACACGCTTGTCAGAAGTCGTGACAAGCAAGAGAAACTGGAAACAATAAGCGATTAGGTCATTCTTTTGGGAGGAGGCCGCCGAGTCGTACAACTTACCCTCGTGACTACTAGATACCACAGTTGTCGTACTCGGTTCTCGGTCTCGGTTCCCGGTCTCGGTCTCGGTCTCGGTTCCCCATCCGCTACTAGTGCTAGTTCTAATATCTTCTTAGTCGGACCACCGTCTTTTCAGGTACAAGTGAGGTATATCCCGTAGGCCGCAATCCGTCTGACAGGCCATGCTCGCCATTATGGCGTTTAAATTACGACCCGATTAGACCACTTGATCTCCCAGCCGTACTCGTTTCATGAATAACCCAGCTACTTGAAAATATACGCGGTAACGTCTGACTCGACCTTGTATGACTCAGAGTGCCTCTAGAAAGCTATGTCGGCCCTAAAAACCCTCGGGGAGTAACGTGAGGCTGTGCTGCTGCTCCTGCGTGCTCGTGCCACCCGTCGAATTATTCCAGCCATTAAATCTAATTTTACTAATCCCACATAAGGGTTTAAAGGATTGATCATTCATGCCATACCGTGATTGGTTGCATATATTTAAAAACAAATGCGGACTTGGTAATAAAATGTGTGTGGAAATCATTTGTATGAATAGGTCATGAAACGATTTGTATTCAAGCATGTCATATCACACTGATGCATTTACCACTTGAATATATGTGCATTGTCTTGAAGCACTGTTCTTTATTACTATTCACCGTGCTAGTGTTTGATATGGTGGGCACATCACAAGCTCGGTGCTGAGTACATCCTGCTTCAAACGTAAAATGGAATCTCACGAATGCGCGTATACGTCCTCTGACGAATCGCGGTTTGTGTGTTCCTTGCGATTAATCGTGCAATGAAAACTCAGTGTTCGACTTAGGGCGTGATACAGAGCAAGCGCTGTTCAAGACATGTTTTCGGGTTACCCTGTTTTCTATGGTAGGTTGTACCTAGGCTGGTCAAGAAGTTTGAGCGTCTTGTCCAGCTTCTGTAACATGTTCCAAAATGATTTTTTGACCAGATTTTTTTCACAACCTTGTATGAACCCGGTTCAAACTTGCCTGAACGCATTGTTCGTCATGTCTATCTTGAACAGCTCTTGAATAGCTGTGTACCGCGCCCTCAGAGATGGATCCGTGGGTTTCGGTTTGGTCGGTTCCTCCCCCAATTCCTCCTCCATTTGCGACTCGGATGGGGTGAGTCTGGCTGGTTGGTTTGGATTTTCCACCCATCAATCGTGGATGGTAACGTCTGACTCGACCTTGTATGACTCAGAGTGCCTCTAGAAAGCTATGTCGGCCCTAAAAACCCTCGGGGAGTAACGTGAGGCTGTGCTGCTGCTCCTGCGTGCTCGTGCCACCCGTCGAATTATTCCAGCCATTAAATCTAATTTTACTAATCCCACTGTTAGTAGAACGTACAAGATGTGGTTTTTTAGACGGATTAGAAGCCAGTTTCAGCCGAGCCAGCAGCAGAGCAAGCCGCGGCTCGACCAACCGTTAAGTTTCACCACCGTCTCGGACGCTGGATCCGCTAGCAAAACCAAAAGACCAGCCGTTGGATTAACACCGGCGACTGGCGGCTCGGGACCGGGACTGGCGGCGGGTTCGGGATTATGGAAGTCTATGCCGGAGGGTATACGCAAGTATTACGTGGGTCTGCTAAACCTAATTCTGCTCTTCTTAATCGCCTGGCAAGCGTCGCCTTACGCCACGAGAAGTTACGATTACCGCGGCGTGACCGGCGGCGCTGGTGGAAAGGGAATGATGACGCTAGGGAAGGACGTGCCTGTACGGAGGTAAGTGAAACAGCTTGTAACGGGAACGGCGGCAACTGTAGGCCGTCCGACAAAACTAACCTATCTTTTTTTTGACTGGCGTGTGCAATTGGAACTTTGAGGGACGAATTGTGGGATATCAACGAAATCCATTACTATGCTTCATCCCAAAATAGGACAAGTTGTCCTGTTCATAGCTCCGGTCCCTAAATCTTCACTCATTCACCTCCTCCTTGAACTACCCCGTGTTCCTAAAGTTCCACAGTTCAAATGAACGTTGAAGGTCCAACCCAACCCATATCCATCCATGCAACCCCAACCGAGCCACCCCTTCCTCCCCCCCCCTCTCCTTCCTCCAACCACCACCAAACCCCGTACCACCCCCCAACTCCCTTCCCCCCTCCCCTTCTTCCCCCAACTCCTCAACTTCTTCCCGAATTCGACTTGCAGTTCCGCCGCCACCGACGCCAAGGAGGTGTCGCTGGATTCGACTCAGAAGTCATATCCTCTCCCCCCCCTTCCTCTCCTCCCCCAATTCCCCGTTCCCTTTCCGAATCCGACTCGCAGTTCCGCCGTCACCGACGCCAAGGAAGCGTCGATGGATTCGACTCAGAAGTCATATCCTCCCCCCCCCCTTCCTCTCCTCCCCCAATTCCCCGTTCCCTTTCTGAATCCGACTCGCAGTTCCGCCGTCACCGACGCCAAGGAAGCGTCGCTGGATTCGACTCAGAAGTCATATCCTCCCCCCCCCCCCCTTCCTCTCCTCCCCCAATTCCCCGTTCCCTTTCCGAATCCGACTCGCAGTTCCGCCGTCACCGACGCCAAGGAAGCGTCGCTGGATTCGACTCAGAAGTCATATCCTCCCCCCCCCCTTCCTCTCCTCCCCCAATTCCCCGTTCCCTTTCCGAATCCGACTCGCAGTTCCGCCGTCACCGACGCCAAGGAAGCGTCGCTGGATTCGACTCAGAAGTCATATCCTCCCCCCCCCCTTCCTCTCCTCCCCCAATTCCCCGTTCCCTTTCCGAATCCGACTCGCAGTTCCGCCGTCACCGACGCCAAGGAAGCGTCGCTGGATTCGACTCAGAAGTCATATCCTCCCCCCCCCCCTTCCTCTCCTCCCCCAATTCCCCGTTCCCTTTCCGAATCCGACTCGCAGTTCCGCCGTCACCGACGCCAAGGAAGCGTCGCTGGATTCGACTCAGAAGTCATATCCTCCCCCCCCCTTCCTCTCCTCCCCCAATTCCCCGTTCCCGTTCCGAATCCGACTCGCAGTTCCGCCGTCACCGACGCCAAGGAAGCGTCGCTGGATTCGACTCAGAAGTCATATCCTCCCCCCCCCCCCTTCCTCTCCTCCCCCGATTCCCCGTTCCCTTTCCGAATCCGACTCGCAGTTCCGCCGTCACCGACGCCAAGGAAGCGTCGCTGGATTCGACTCAGAAGTCATATCCTCCCCCCCCCCCCCTTCCTCTCCTCCCCCAATTCCCCGTTCCCTTTCCGAATCCGACTCGCAGTTCCGCCGTCACCGACGCCAAGGAAGCGTCGCTGGATTCGACTCAGAAGTCATATCCTCCCCCCCCCCCCTTCCTCTCCTCCCCCAATTCCCCGTTCCCTTTCCGAATCCGACTCGCAGTTCCGCCGTCACCGACGCCAAGGAAGCGTCGCTGGATTCGACTCAGAAGTCATATCCTCCCCCCCCCCTTCCTCTCCTCCCCCAATTCCCCGTTCCCTTTCCGAATCCGGCTCGCAGTTCCGCCGCCACCGACGCCAAGGAAGCGTCGCTGGATTCGTCCGAGTGGTCGCTCTCGGACAAGCTCGTCGCAGGGCGACCAGCAGCCGTCGCAGGCGACGCAACGGGGTCGCAGGCGCGGGGCAGCGGCGCGGCGAGCGACAGCCACGGACGCGGACAGGGAGTATCCGGCGAGGCAGGGCTGCACCGAGAGGGGGCCGCGGCGGATGGGGGAAAAGGTTCCGCCAAGGCGAAAGAAAGGCGCGAGCACGTTTGTTACACTTCCTCAGGTGAGCCACAGGATTCTGGGGTTTGGGCTTCGGGGTATGGCACTGAGAGTGGGAAGCGGCGGATGGAGGAAAAAGTTCCGCCAAGGCGAATGAGTGGCTCGAACATGGTCGATATTTTACCTTGGGTGAACCACAGGTTTCTGTGGTTTGGGTTCCTGGGTTTGGTTCAGAGGCCTGTAGGGCACGTCCATTGGACGGACCTTCTCTCTCGGGTGATTGAATATACTAGCCGTTGCTGGTGATAGGGTTGTGGAGATGTGTCACAGAATTCTGGGGTTTGGGCTCCCGGGTTTGGTTCAGAGGCCTGTAGAGCACGTCCGTTGGACCTTCTCACTTTGGTGATTGACCCCACTAGCCGTTGCTGGTGATAGAACTGTGGAGGTGTCACAGACTTTCAGGCTTCGGGAATCCGTGTGATTACACAGGTGAAGAAAGAGGTAGTCTAGTTTTGAGGCGCCTCCAAACTAGACTCATGGGATTGCACAGGTGGAGGGGGTAGTCGTCGCCCTCCTCCTGCCTCCGCTTCTAGTTTCCTTCCGCCCTTCTTGGTTCCTCTCGTCCTTTTACTACCCTCCCCTTCCCCCTTCTCTCTCCCCATCAGCCCCATGGAAGGGTCACACCCTGGTTCCGCGCAACCACCTTTCGCGCAGGGGTGGTGGTGGGCGGAAGGGGGTGTGCGCGGGTAGGTGTGCATGGCGTCATGTTCCGCATCTCCTCCCCCCGAATGCTCCCCTTTCTCCTTCCGCCCTTCCTCGGTCTTCTCTTCCCCTTTCTCTCCTTTCCCCCTTCTCTCTCTCCCCATCAGCCCCATGGAAGGGCTACCATCTGGTTCCGCGCAACCACCTTTCCCTGGGGGGGGTGGTGGGCGGAAAGGGGTGTGCGCGCTGTGTGGGAGAGCGTGAGTGTGTGGCCCACGATCTCCGTCCCCACTTCTACCCATTGTTCCCTTCTTTCGTCCAATGTCCAACGTTCTCCCCCCTGATGCTCCCCTTTCTCCTCTCCTTCCGCCCTTACCCTCCCCTTCCCCCTTCTCTCTCTCCCCATCAGCCCCATGGAAGGGCTACCATCTGGTTCCGCGCAACCACCTTCCCCCGGGGGTGGTGGTGGGTGGGAGGGGGTGTGCGCGCTGTGTGCGCGGAAGGGACTGCGGCATGCGCGTTTGGATCAACGCCCCGGCCACTTGGGTGCAGGTGGGTTTGGGATGGGTGCAGGTGGGTTTGGGATGGGTGCTGCTGGGTTTGGGATGGGTGGTGGTGGAAAAAGGACGGATGCAGGTGGGACTGGGGTGGATGCAGGTGGGAATGGGGTGGGTGCAGGTGGGAATGGGGTGGGTGCAGGTGGGTACCACATGGGTGCAGGTGGGTATCGAATGGGTGGAGGTGGGTACTTCACATTCTCTCATCCACTCAAGTCTCCCCCAACGCGACCTGGCAGAAGAAGGCCATGGCGCTCCTCCCCAGCTGGTGGAAGAAGGACATGACACACATTCTCAAGGACTCACCTCTCCCTCCCATGACAATCTGCTTTCCCCTCTCCTCCCCTCATCTCCCCTCAGATCTACCCCAACGCGAGCTGGTGGAAGAAGGACATGACACACATTCTCAAGGACTCACCTCTCCCTCCCATGACAATCTGCTTTCCCCTCTCCTCCCCTCATCTCCCCTCAGATCTACCCCAACGCCAGCTGGTGGAAGAAGGACATGACACACATTCTCAAGGACTCACCTCTCCCTCCCATGACAATCTGCTTTCCCCTCTCCTCCCCTCATCTCCCCTCAGATCTACCCCAACGCCAGCTGGTGGAAGAAGGACATGACGCTTATCCTCAAGGGCCCTGCTCTCTCCCATGGGGACGTGCTGTTCACAGGATACACACTTGTTTCCCCTCCCTCCTCCCCATCCCCCCCCCATCCCCCCCCCCCACCAGATCTACCCCAACGCGAGCTGGTGGAAGAAGGACATGACGCTCATCCTCAAGGGCCCTGCTCTCTCCCATGGCGACGTGCGCTGCCTCGACCCCCCTGCCTGCTCGCAACTCGACCTCACCTACCGCCTCTGGGACGTGGGACAGTACAAGTGCGTGCCAAGGGGTGGGAATTGGTGGGAATGGGTTAGAATGGGTTTGGAATGGTTGAGTCATCACTGGTGCAGGCAGCTACGGGGCAGAGCAGCGGGTGTGGTTCCTACTTGACCCCTCGCCTGCTCCCAGCTCGCCCTCTCCTACCGCCTCTGGGACGTGAGGCAGTACAGGTACATTCCAAGGGGTGGGCATGGGTGTGCATGGGTGGGCATGGGTTGGAACATGTGTACGCACAGTCATCCCTGCTGCAGGCAGTCAGCCATGGGGCACAGCAGAGGGCGGCATGGTTTAACCTGATACTCCTGCCTGCTCCCAGCTCGCCCTCACCTACCGCCTCTGGGACGTGGGGCAGTAGAGGCGCGTCAAGCTGTCCTTTGATGTCCTCCCTGGCTTCCACTCGGCAGTGCGTTTCCTCTCTTCCCAGGCCATTCCTGGGCGTAGGCTGCGCCAACCTGCAGTTCGCCCCCAACTACAAGCAGCACCTGAGCCTCATCCCGTTCCTCCCTTTTCCACTTCGCCCCATGCGTTCTCTCACTCTTCCCAGGGCATTCCCGAGGGTAGGCTGCGCCAATCTGCGGTTCGGCCCCAACTACAAGCAGCGCCTGAGCCTCATCTACAGCCTCTCTGTTCCGTTCCCCTCACGTGTTCGTCTCCTCTCTCCCCTACCAGGGCATTCCTGAGTGTAGGCTGCGCCAACCTGCGGTTTTCCCCCAACTACAAGCAGCATCTGAGCCAGACGCACCTCCATGTACTCACATCGTGGAACGTCACAATTGTGCCGCAAAAGAGAGACGCCGCCTGGGTTAACGGCTCTCTTGCTCTCCCTCCCACCTCCGCTGCTCCTTTTGCCTCTTCTGCTACTGACACTGCAACCTCTGCTACCACCACTGCCACTGCAACTGTGACTGCAGTGGCTGCTGTTGTGAATGTTGCTGCTACAGCCAACGTTCCTCCTGCAGCTGCTGCTGCTGCTGCGGCCACCGGCACGGGGGAAGCCCTAAACTCTGGTGCTAACAGCTATAACACTAACGGGAACAATCAAAGCGTCCCTGCCTCTGCTGTAACTAGCGAGATAAGTGAACACACAATCAGTAGCAGCAGCAGCAGCAGCAGTGTTCGCCGCTTCTTGAGTGGCACGTGGCAGGAGGAGGAGGCTAGTGAGGAGAGCGAGGCGAGCAGAGGGAGAGGAACGGAATGGAGGGGTGCGGAGGAGAGGAGGCTGCTGGAAGGGGGGGCGACGGATGAGGAGGAGGAAGAAGAGGAGGAGGAGGAGAAGCTGCCAATGACGCCGTGCCAGGTGTCAGGCATCAAGGGGCGATGGGTGCTGTCCAAGGCTGGCGGATACGAGTGAGTGGGGAGGCATGTGAGGGGCTGGGGAAAGGCATGGGCTAGGCTTTAGGGACGTACAGGTGAGATATGGGAGAGGCTTGGGAAAGGAAGGAGGATGAGGAAAAGCTGCCAGGTGTCTGGCATCAAGGGGCGATGGGTGCTGTCCAAGGCTGTTGGATACGAGTGAGTGGGGAGGCGTGTGAGAGGCTTGGGAGAGGCATGGGAGAGGCATGGGAGCAGCATGGGAGTCGCATGGGAGCAGCATGGGAGTCGCATGGGAGCAGCATGGGAGTGGCATGGGAAAGGCATGGGAGCAGCATGGGAGTCGCATGGGAGCACAGCATGGGAGTGGCATGGGAGTGGCATGGGAGCAGCATGGGAGTGGCATGGGAGCAGCATGGGAGTGGCATGGGAAAGGCATTCAAAAGGCATGAGGTTCTGGTTCTCCCAGTCACTCATCTGGTTGGGCGGCACAGCTTGGTTCATTCGAGTACTCGGATCGGCATGAATGAGTTTTTTTAGAATTCTCAAAAAGAGGTTTTCAAGTAACGCATTCTCCCAGTCGTTCTCTGGTTGGGCGGCACAGCTTGGTTTATTAGAGCATTTGGATAAGGTTGAGGCTCCCATTCTTCCCTTCCATTGCCAGAGGAGCCACGACTACCGTTGTGTGCGACCAGCTAGGTGGGCAGGGTTGCCTGCTGTCAAGGCCGCTACAGCTGTCTCGGCCTCTGCAGCTGTCTCAGCCGCTACAGCCATGTCAGCCAGCTGCCTCAGCCGCTACAGCCATGTCAGCCAGCTGCCTCAGCCGCTACAGCCATATCAGCCGCTACAGCTGCCTCAGTCGCTACAGCCATGTCAGCTGCTACAGCTGTCTCAGCCGCTACAGCCATGTCAGCTGCTACAGCTGTCTCAGCCGCTACAGCCATGTCAGCTGCTACAGCTGTCTCAGCCGCTATAGCCGTGTCAGCCACTACAGCCGTGTCAGCCACTACAGCTGTGTCAGCCGATCTCCCTCAGCTGCAAAAAAAAAAAAAAAAAAAAAAAAGTCACCCACTCCTTCTGCCTCCCCCCTCCCCTTCAGCTTCCCCATGTGCACACAAGGAGCCGAAGCATCCATCAGGGTGTGTGTAGCAGCTTTTGCAACCGAACCGTCAGGATGGGTGGCGCAACTGGTGCAAAAGTGCATTCTACCAAAACGCCACCCCCTCCTCTATCCCCCCCCCCGGCAGGTGGCACTTCTACCCCGTGTGCACCCAAGGAGCCGAAACGACCTTCAGGGTGGGTGGCACAGCTGGTGCGGAAAGGCTTTCTAACAAAACATTAACCCCCCATCCCTCCTCCCCTGTTCCTTTCTCCCCCCCCGGCAGGTGGCGCTTCTACCCGTGTGCACCCAGTGAGCCGAAACGACCGGCAGGATGGGTGGCACAGCTGGTGCGGAAGGGCATTCAGGAGATCAACATCGTGGGGGACTCGCACCAGCGCGTTCTGTCCTTTCACCTGAGATATCTCCTGTCAGGTGCAGTTCTCGCCTGCTCTAGTTTCACCCGAGTTGCCACCTGTCAGGTGCCTTTCTCTGTTGCTTTCCTTCCACCTGAGATACCACCTGAGTTACCACCTGGTGCGGAAGGGCATTCAGGAGATCAACATCGTGGGGGACTCGCACCAGCGCGTTCTGTCCTTTCACCTGAGATATCTCCTGTCAGGTGCAGTGCAGTTCTCGCCTGCTCTAGTTTCACCCGAGTTGCCACCTGTCAGGTGCCTTTCTCTGTTGCTTTCCTTCCACCTGAGATACCACCTGAGTTACCACCTGGTGCGGAAGGGCATTCAGGAGATCAACATCGTGGGGGACTCGCACCAGCGCGTTCTGTCCTTTCACCTGAGATATCTCCTGTCAGGTGCAGTGCAGTTCTCGCCTGCTCTAGTTTCACCCGAGTTGCCACCTGTCAGGTGCCTTTCTCTGTTGCTTTCCTTCCACCTGAGATACCACCTGTCAGGTGTTTTCTCTCCGCTACTGTCAGGTATTTTTACCTGAGATATCTCCTGGCGCACTGCTGTGTTGAGGTATTTTTGTGCCCCTCCCCTCCCCTCCCCCTCCCCTCCCCCTCCCCCTCCCCCTCCCCTCGCTCCCCTTCCCCTCCTCTCCCCGCTCATTCTGTCTCTCTCCACCAGGCGTTGCAGTCGAGCGTACTGTGCGGTCACACGAAGACATAACTTCACTCCCACATATGAATGCAAGCAGGGAGAAACCTTTTTTCCACCCCCGCCCCAACCCCCACTCCCTCCACCACGCGTTGCAGACGAGCGCATGGTGCAGTCGCCCGAGGACATGAACTTCACAGTCACTGATGAGCGCTCACAGGGAGAAGCTGCATTTCCCCCTCCCCCTCCCCTTCCAGCCCACCCCCCCCCCCCAACAGGCTTTGCGGACGAGCGCATGGTGCGGTCGCACGAGGACATGAACTTCACTCTCGTCGGTGACATACACTAGCCTCATTCCCCTGTACCCTTTCTTCCTCTCGGCTCACTCACCCCACCCTCTCCCCCACTCCTCAAGCAGGCTTCGCGGACGAGCGCATGGTGCGGTCGCACGAGGACATGAACTTCACAGTCACGGATGAGCGCTCGAGCAAGGTTCTGCGAATCAACTTCTACTGGGTGGACGGCATCTACAGGAACCGCGAATACGGCTGCTCGTGAGTGCTCCGTCTTTGCTTCCCCTTGTCCCCTCGCCTCGTTCCCCCTCTCATCCTGTCTTCCAACCTCACACAAGCTGCGAGTCAACTTCTACTAGGTGGACGGCATCTACAGGAGCCGCGAATCCGGCTGCTCGTGAGTGCTCCGTCTTTGCTTCCCCTTGTCCCCTCGCCTCGTTCCCCCTCTCATCCTGTCTTCCAACCTCACACAAGCTGCGAGTCAACTTCTACTGGGTGGACGGCATCTACAGGAACCGCGAATACAGCTGCTCGTGAGTGCTCCGACTCCTCCTCCCACCCACCACAACTCCCCTTACCACTCCTCCACTCCTCCTCATGTACTGCGAATCAACTTCTGCTGGGTGGAAGGGATCTACAGGAACCTCGAATACGGCTGCTCGTGAGTGCTCTTTCTGTTGCTCCTCCCGTCCCGCCCTCACAATTCTTCCATTGCCTCAAAGCTGCGAGTCAACTTCTACTGGGTGGACGGCATCTACAGGAACCGCCACTCATGAGTGCCTTTGCTGCTCCCCAATCTTCCCACTCCTCCTTTCATCAACCTCACACAAGCTGCAAATCAACTTACACTGGGTGGATGGCACTTACAGGAATCGTGAATACAGTTTCCTGTGGGTGCGCCCTCTTCTATCACCACCCTTCCCACTCCTCCAGTCATCAACCTCACACAAGTTGTGAGTCGTCTCAAGGCTGGGATTCAAGGGTGGGCGGTTTTAACAGGAATCGTGAGTAGGAAGCTGTGTGCCTCCTTCTCACCCCCCTTCCCTCCCTCACTTTCCCCCTTTGTTTCATGCAAACGAGTAGTCCACACAAATGCATGTGCATATGCCCCAGTCCTTGTGAACGGGCAGCAACCCCAGTTGACTCTTCAAGATTCATGGAAGAACAAAACACACACACACACACACACACACACACACACACACACGCACACGCACACACACATGCACACACACACACACGCACACACGCACACACACACACGCACACACGCACACACACACACACACACACGCACACACACACACACACGCACACACACACACACACACACACACACACACACACACACACACACACAATTCTGGCGACTTGTTTTTTAATAGGCCGGTCTGCATGCCTCACTGGTAGACGGAAAAAACATTCATAGCTTTGTATTTCAACACAGATCCTTCCCCCTTCCTGAGTGCAGGTTGAGAGGGCAGTACACGCACAACTACCACACCTTCCCCAACATCTCCACAACAGCCAACGTGACAGTCATAGAGGGCGGCTACTGGGCTGGCAAGTGGGATGTGATGTGCTGAGAACCCGTTCAAGACCCCATGCCCAATCCCACAACCCCCAACCCTGAGTGCAGGTTGAGAGGGCAGTACACGCACAACTACCACACCTTCCCCAACATCTTCACAACAGCCAACGTGACAGTCACAGAGGGCGGCTACTGGGCCGGCAAGTGGGATGTGATGTGCTGAGAACCCGTTCAAGACCCCATGCCCAATCCCACAACCCCCAACCCTGAGTGCAGGTTGAGAGGGCAGTACACGCACAACTACCACACCTTCCCCAACATCTCCACAACAGCCAACGTGACAGTCACAGAGGGCGGCTACTGGGCCGGCAAGTGGGATGTGATGTGCTGAGAACCCGTTCAAGACCCCATTCCCAATCCCACAACCCCCAACCCTGAGTGCAGGTTGAGAGGCCAGTACACGCACAACTACCACACCTTCCCCAACATCTCCACAACAGCCAACGTGACAGTCATAGAGGGTGGCTACTGGGCCGGCAAGTGGGATGTGATGTGCTGAGAACCCGTTCAAGACCCCATGCCCAATCCCACAACCCCCAACCCTGAGTGCAGGTTGAGAGGCCAGTACACGCACAACTACCACACCTTCCCCAACATCTCCACCACAGCCAACGTCACAGTCATAGAGGGCGGCTACTGGGCCGGCAAGTGGTGTGCCGAGCCGCTGCAAGCCCTCCGCGCCCGCCTCCCCGAGTTCTTCATCTGGGCGCTCCTCGCCGCCCGGTCCAACCGCGCCCGCGTCGTCTTCCGAACGCCGCCGCCCGTCCCGAACGCCGGCTCGCATTGCTTGGATTATGCGATCAAGAGGGGTTTTGCGGGGCCCGCGACAAACCTGTACCTGGCTGCGGCCAATCGGCATGCACGCCAGCTGGCGGCATCGGAGACGAGAGGCGCTGAGATGGCGGTGTTTGATTCGTGGGCCGTGGAGGCGCCGCGGTACGGCGACACCTGTCCCGGGGATCATCATTACTCGTGCTTTTTGGGCGGGCAGAAGCGGACGAAGCCGGTTGTGAGGGGGGCGGTGGGAGATGCAGTGGCGAGGACTTTCCTGCACTTTTTGCTGCACTCGCTGCGTATGGAGGATAGCAGCACAGCAGAAGAGCAAAATAATACCTGACAAACAAAACAATATACTGTACCATGAATAGGCAGAGAAGGGGTGGTTGTAGTGTGGTGTGGGTGGATGATAGATGGCTTAGGTTAGGAGTGTGGTCGTAATATATATTTTGTACCTGCTCAACAGTGAATTTCATAACACCTGCATGCATGGGGGACGTGGCATAGCGTATGTTGGGGTAACCTTTATTCAAACACCGTACATGTTCAGGCATGCAATTGGTCTTGCATTGACGTTGGGTCTAAAAGCGCTATGGCAAAGCAAGTCTTGGCTCTGATGTAACCTTGCAGCGATGGCTTGCCATTCGGTCTGCTTCAGGCACCCAGTAGCACGGTGTTGAGATAAGAATTTAGGAGATTAGGAGCTTGGAGGGGAGTAGCATAGTGAGATGGTTATCGAGGGAGTAAAGGTTGGCCAAAAGAGGGGTTTGAATAAGGGAGGGCATACAAAGATATAGGCAAGGAGAAGACAAAGGGTACTGTGATCATGAGAACGAGAATGAATGAACTATGAATGAAGTGGGTACAAGTACTAACCCTAATTGGGTTGTACCCCCTATGGGATACCCCACTACAGCCTACACAAAAGCATAAGCTATAATGTTCTGACACACCCCCATAGGCAAAGTGGGGGAGAACAAGGGGTCACAAGACCAGTCAAGCAAAGCAAGCTCAGGGTGGATCACAAAGTCACCACACAGTCCAAGCACAAGGTCAAGGCCACAAGGCCAGTTCACATGCAGGAATACATATATATATAAGGCTAAACAAGCAAGAGTAGGTATATATAAATAAATATATATGCAAGAGTACAAGCAAGATCAAGAGGTGAGCAAGTGAGGCAAGACAGGCACAAGACCCAGCTGAGTGCAGAAGCACTGATGATCACAAGGCGGAAGTGCCTTGGTGAAAACATCAGCAGTGTTGGCCTCAGAGGCCACGTACGCAAGTCGCAGCTGACCACGCTGCTGCAGCTCACGAGCAAGAAGTAGCGGAGAGCAATGTGCTTCGTTCTGTGCTCCAGGCGCTGCTCTCGACACAAGGCCAGCATGGCCTTGTTGTCTACGTACAGCACTGGAGGAGAACGAGGCGGCTCTCCAAGATCAGTCAGCAGGTAGGTGAGCCAGCGAAGCTCCTAAGCAGCCATGGCCCCGGCGTAGATCTCAGCCTCACAACTGGAGCCGAGAACAGAAGACGAGCGAGTAGCCCGCCACGAAACAGAGCCGGAATCAAGGCTGAAGGTGTAACCCTGCGACGACCGCTGCGTAGCCTGGTCGTCAGCCCAAGAAGCGTCCGCGTGCCCAGTGAGGACCACTGGACTCCGCCCTCCAAGCACTAGCCCCATGCCCGACGTACTGCACAAGTAGCGCAACACCCTCTTCGTTGCAGCCATGTGCTCTGGTCGGTGTCTCCCAGGAGCAACATAGCGTGCCAAGATGCTAAGAGGGTATGCAAGGTCAGGTCGTGTGCAGGTCATCAGGTACATGAGGCAGCCAACAAGCTCTGGGTACGGGCCACTCGACTCTACGGACTCATCCGAAGGCAGAGCTGAGAGCGAGTGGCGGGTAGACAGAGGATTGGCCTGAGGCGAGGAGTACGTGAAGCCGAAGCGCTCAAGGACCTGCTGCACCATGTGTGACTGAGTCAAGGTAATGGTGCGGCGTGCTATGTCCCGAGTGATCTGCAAGCCAAGGTAGCTGCGCAGTTCACCCAGGTCTGTGCACGTGTGTCTCTTCTGCAGCTCGGACTTCACGTAGGCGAGTCCAGCAGTGTCCGCTGTGGCAAAGACCAAGTCGTCGACGTACACGAGGATGTAGAACGGCGGCAAAGAAGTGTCGGTGCGCAGAAACAACGACGGGTCAGCAGTAGAGGGAGCAAACCCAAGAGCCGCAAGCGTAGTCCTCAGTGTGTCGTGCCACTCACGTGGTGCCTGGCGGAGACCGTAGACTGGCCGTCGGAGGCTCCACTGGGTGCCAGGAGGGAAAGTCCCAGTGAAGCCAGGTGGACGGCGCAACCAGATCTCCTCGTGCAGGCTACCCTGCAAGAAAGCAGTGCTGAAGTCAAGAGAGTGGAGCTCGTAGTCGCGCTGAGCGGCTATGTGCAGCAGCACCCGAAGAGTGGTCATCTTCGGGGTGGGAGAGAAGGTATGAAAGTAGTCAACTCCCTGCCGCTGACTGAAGCCACGAGCCACGTACCGCACCTTGAAGACAGGTGGAGAGCCCGGCGGCCGCTTCACCCTGAAGATCCACATCCCACTGACAATGTTCGCCCCAGGAGGGGGAACCTCGTCAACGTAGGTGCCTGTGGACTTCCAGGAAGCCATCTCTGCATCCATAGCTGCCTGCCACTGAGAGGAGTAGGGACCCTCTACGGCCTCCGCGTAAGAGCGCGGAGTCGGGATGTCTAGTGCATCCGGGTCTCCCTCAGGGGCAAGCAGTACAGACGCGAGATGAGGTGAAGCAGCACCCAGACACTGAAACTCCTCCTGCCTGTCCTCAAGGACGTCCGTGCCAAGAGCACACTCACCCCCGATGGACGGAGGACAGACAGACGCAGACTCAGCAACAAGACTAGCAGCGTAGTCTAGACGACAGCGAGCAGCGAAGTCGACGAGCTCAGCAACAAGAGCAGACGCAGCAGTGGACTCAAAGGAGGGGTCAGTGACAACAGTAGCAAGGAGACGCGTGACAGTAGGACTGGCAGCACGAAGAGAGTCCGACTCAGGGTCGGCAAGCGCAGGAAGAGAGGACTCAGGAGGAGAGGGCAAAGGGGCACGCAGAGGAGCAGTAGACGGACGCAAAGACATCCGGTGCGTGCCAGGGACAGGAGGAAGACGCTGACGCGAACTGCGACCACTAGTGCGAGCAGCACGAACAGGCGACGCAGGACGAGACGCAGGCTCACGACGCTCAGCAAGACCACCAGTAGGACTAGTGTACGGAGACGGAGAAGGCAGTTGGGAGGCCGGCGGTAACTGTGACTGGGACTGGACAGGCGGTGGACCCTCTAAGAGAGAGAGGAAGACCAAGAACCTGCTGAAGGAGCGGAACGAAGTACGGCCGAGGCCGCGCGGCGGCACCAGACACAGCAGGGACAGCACCAGCACCCTCAGCACCTCCGGCAGCACCAGCGCCAACAGCACCTCCAGCGGCAGGACCTCCAGTAGCGCCAGCAGTACCCGCAGCACGACCACCACCAGGACGTACAGTAGTAGTCTCAGAACCAACACCCTCAGCAGCTCCAGCTCCAGGCGGACCCGCAGGCCCAGCAGCTCCGGGACCGGCGGCACCAGCACCCTCAGCGGCTGAAGAAGCGCCAGCTCCAGCAGTACGCCTCCAGCGGCGAGCAAACCACTCACGCAGCTCCTGTGGAGAGAGTGGCTCCCGCCGAGACGAAAAACCCGGAGAACCTCCAGGCCCAGTATCGTCAGACGCCACAAGGGGAGGTCCAGTGGCCGCAGGCTCCACACCTCCAGGCTCAGCAGCCCCAGACGCAGCACCCCCAGGCTCAGCACCCCCAGGCTCAGCACCCACGCGCGCAGCACCTTCAGAGTCAGCACCCCCAGGCTCAGCACCCCCAGAGGCAGCACCCCCAGGCTCAGCACCCCCAAGCTCAGCACCCCCAGGCTCAGCACCCCAAGACTCAGCACCCCCAGGCCCAGCACCCCCAGACTCAGCACCCCCCGAGTCAGCACCCCCAGGCGCAGCACCCCCTGCAGTACCTGAGTCACCAGCAACCTCGACCGGCTTGACTGCATCGACCTGGGACACACCTTAAGGGGCAGGACCCTGAGGGGGAAGGGGGTCTACCGGGGGGGGACCTTGTACAAGGAAGTGCGGCGGCGGCGGGAGGGAAGGAGTGCGGTTGGGGAAGAGGCGGTAGAAGGGGACTGACTCGTCGAACGTGACGTCCTGGGAGGACAGAACATGACGAGAGGAGGGGTGGTAGAACTGCCACCCTGGGGCGTCAGGGGGGAAGCCTAGGAAGACACAGGGAGCAGCACGAGGGGACAGCTTGTCCGCAGACAGGTCACGGACAAACGCCCGAGATCCCCAGCCACGGAACGCAGACGCATCGCCGACCTTCCCCGTCCACAGCAGAGCTGGGGAGGTCTCCGGCCGGGAGACCCTGGGGTGAAGGTTGAGCTGATGCGCCGCGTAACGAACCGCAAACGGCCACAGAAAATGGGGGGCAGCCGCATGCATCATGGACGTACGAGCGACGTCCATGACCATGCCAATGCGGCGCTCAGCAATCCCATTTTGCTGTGGAGAGTCCGGAAGCGTGAAGGTCTGGCGGATGCCTCGTGCACGACAGTAGGCTCGCAGAAAGCCAGAGGAGAACTCTCCGCCTCGGTCAGAGTGCAGACGCAGAACAGGAAAGTCCGAGCCGGAGCTACTCCTGAGCTGGAGACGAGCCGCGCGGATCCAGTCGATCAACACCTCAGTGACATCACCCTTGCTGCGCAAGGGGAAGACTGTGGTGTAACGCGAGTAGTCGTCAACCACCAGCAGGAAGTAGTGCTCGTGACCCTGTCCACGGACGCGGGCCGGGCCCCACACGTCCATGTGAAGCGTCTGCAGAGGAGCCTCTGTCGGGGGAAACTGGGAGGAGTGAGGGGCAGCCCGGAACCGCCCCTCGACACAAGGGACACAGGAAGGTCCTAGCCCCGAAGGAAGGGGAGGGAGAGACCGGGGGAGACCAGAGACAAGGACACGGGAAGCCATGCCCCGAAGTCGAGGCAAGGAGGGGTGGCCAAGACGGTGGTGCCACAAGAGAGTCTCGTGAGACAGGAGGCGACACGAGCAGGGGGCAGACTCAGGACCAGACCTGGACGCCGCAGCAAACACCTGACCCGACACAGCTACCTGGCCAGACGCAAGGACTGGAGGAGACTCAATGGTCAGGGTGTAGAGACTCGACCCGGGCCGACGCGAAAACGTGGCTAGGTGTCGGCCTGTGCGGGCGTCCGAGCAGTGGGTCCCCCGCTGACTCGCAGGA